TGGTGATTCGATGAGAAATGGAATGTAATGTGTCGTATTAAGCACACCGAAAGGAATGTTGTACCGATAATGACGCGAAGTCCATGGAATTCCGTAGCAATGAAAAATGATCCATCAACAGAATCTGCGATGGTAAATGGGACTTCAATATATCCATATGCTTGAAGAATAGTAAAGTAAAATTCTAAAATAATAGTTAGTAGTAATCCTTGTGAGGCATGTCAATAGTTATTTTCTATTGTTATGATGGGCCAATGAAACTGTAACACCTATTCGTGCCTAACCTACATCGACTATCGGACTCATTTAAAATAGTAACTTTTAGTGTGCGCCCGACAGTATTATTCGTGTGTATTAACTGACGTTTCCTTCACATTGTTAGCAGAACATGTAAAGCGACTGAGAAATAACCGCTTCCTGTCAGACCGAGAGAATGGGGCATGCTCCCAAGAACGCAAAGAGGATTTATGTTGTTAGTTCATCCCGCTCAACGAATTGTTGTTTTGACCATATGTTCGTGCGAAGTACTATGCATTCTGACATGCTTTCTTTCAATTATTTTATCTCCATCGCACATTTCATAACCCTCATCCCAGCTACGAGGAAGAAAGCACCCCGGAGCCGAGAAGTGTTGGAAATGGTGGTATTATGATTTATTTCCCCTGATCCCTCTTTTCTCCAGGCTCATAGGAAATGAGATTGGCCTACGGAGCACATGAGCGAATCAAAGTAATAAAAAAAGCTCGGTTAAATGTACCTACGAGATTCCTGAAAGAGACGGGTTGTGGGAGAGATGTTATTACCCATCCCAAGTGGTTTAGGAGGGTGTTGGGGACCCTACAGAAGGATCCTGGTTTTCCAGCATAGAGAGCTATCAACAGACCCCAATATCTAAAGAAACACTAACACCGCCAACTCAGCACCACAAACTCACCAACTCACCACCAACAACAATAATAACAACGACAACGACGACACAACAGAACGAAGTAATTGAAGTACATGCATTTTATAGTACACTTCTGCTGCAAGCGTATTCTAAAAACTGAAGGACCTGTTCGACTATAATTTCAAAATTCTTGTTTTGTTTGCCTACGTTTCCAAAAATAAAAGAGTATCATAAGTTACTTCTTACTTCTTAATTTTGACCCGTTTCTAGATTCTATTTTTTTCAAGGAGGTGATTTTTTCAACGAAGACTCATACCAATGTAAAAATGCAGTCAGGTAGTACTTACAATCACAATACTAGCTGACACACATGGTAACCTAAAAAATAGAAAGGCAATCATCGATTTCCTAAAATTAATTTCTTTACTTAATTGACACATAATGTAATATGACATTTAACTTCTAAATTGTTCGGAATTTTTACTCGCCTTACGATTTCAACCTGCACTTCTGTCTCATTTTCTGGCGCCTTATTTCCTTGGCCGTGCCTCATGAGAGTCACAAGTGTTGTAAGCGGGCAAGTCCCTTTGGGTGCATCAACCCAAAAGTAGGTGGAGCCTCCGAAACCTTTCTTGCTGAGCTTTGCGTTGGGCATTCGTTCTCCAACGCCAACAGGGAAACAGTATTGATTTTTAACAACATGTTTTTGCGCATTATTAGCCATAGAATTAAGCCGTTTTATCAGCTGTGCATATCTTGAAAATTCATCTCTACAATATTTTTTATTTTCTCAACGTTAACGACCCTGAAAGCGCTGCCAAACGATCAGTCGCATGCCGATCAAGTTGCCTCTTTCAATTTAGAGAAGCTATGCCTCCGAGGGGAATGAAAACGAAGAAATTTCCATTTTGTACCGCTTTCAAACTCATCTCGCCTTGTAGATATAAGCGATTTTAGATAAGCTACTTTCTGTCCCGCCACGATTTCTTGAATGCTACTTCAGCTTTAAGCCTATTTGTACAAGACACTTATCGTAAAATAAAAGCACTAACAACAAAAATTATACAAAACGGACGTGAGCCATTATTTCTAACAATTACATACATCTTAGAGGCGTAGTTCGTTATACGAAACGTACATTACATATACATCAGCAGTAGACACTTTCAGATATAATGCTTATGAATAAGAAAATATCTTCCCAGTAATTATTGCTTTTCACAATTTTTTAACGTGGATCTATCTGAATTGTAAACCAGTAACTATCATAAAAGATTGGTAATCATTTTGAGTTGAATGGCTTGTTGTGAATTTTAAAGGGTCAACTACTGCTGACATGGCAACTACCGGTGCCGTTACCTTACGAGGATGGGAGCTTTCGCCGTGATCTGCTGTTGGTTGTAGATCCAAGCTTCCTTTAAAGACGACATTCAGCAAAGGTTAAGACTTTCTCTCATCGCGCCAAATACTCTCTTCCCTCGCCAAATACTGGTCTCAGCTAGAAACGTCCGAACTGCCTTGTCAGTAGGATGTAAAATCTCGTTAGAACGGGATATTTTCGGAGAAATTTAATCTTGTCAGGTATATGTCAGGGCTCTCTCATCCGTACTCAAAGTTGAAATGCCCTATGCCTGCATTAGTAGCCGAAATTCCTAACCCTGCTCCGTCAATTCTCGTAAGTTAAGGAGTTAAAGACCCACGAGTCCCTGAATGGGTGACCGTCTGGGAATCCCGGAAACTAACGACGCTGAATTCCTGGCGATAAGCTGGCAATGGCTTACGACTTGACATATGAATGACAGGTTTTAACGATAATAAACGTTCAACGCCAAACAAGGCAACATTATTATGCAAGTAAACTATTTTTTAACGGATTCCTTTGGCAATCCATCGCCCGCGAGGTCAGGTTGGAAGCAAGAGCGTTACCCCTTCCACTCACACCATCAGCAGAAGCAGGTGAGTGCATAATCTGGAATCTCGAGAATAATGAAGACATTTGACTCTGTAATGTAAGATTCTTTCTTTTTTTGGCGGTTCTCCTTCCCTGAGGCCCCAGTCAGTAGCACCTGCCTTAATGTGGCTGAACCTTGTCCCCTCTCCGACCATCGTCAGAGTTCTTTGAATGCAACGTTATCTCCGTAATTTTTGATTCGCCGAGGTCTGTTCAGAGACACGTATCTAAGTAACGCCTACCTGTTTATATTTTACACTAATTTTAGAACCTTCTACTCGTACCACTAGATATTTTTATTAACCAAAGAAAAACATTTAAAGTATTAAAATTTTACATCCCCCAAGAGGAATTAAAGTAAAATCCTTAAGATCTGGGTTTTGCAAAATCTGCTTATTAATTCTTTAGTCAATTATATATTTTAGATGGATATATTGGATGATAAGGTATTTCTTTCAAACCTCGTTTGGTGTTTCGCGACTCACTGGCTTATAATCCATGACACTCAAGGGATAAATGAAGTCTACTTTACGTCAGTGTTTGCTATGTATATCAATGAGTAAAATTTAGAAAATTCACTACTAGAACAACAGAGATGCTATCCCAGAGGCCGGCGAAAACTCCCCTTTGCTCGTCGGCAGTGAAAGTGTCAAAGTACTTGTTATGTAATGAATGTTAATTCAAGGCATATGCACGAATTCGCAATTTAATTATAATGCGCAAGTTTATCGTCACGGCGAATAGTAGGGTTCACGCGAGAAGTTTATTAATTAATTTATTAAGGGAACAACAATATAGTTTTATTTATTTGTTATATTATCTTATTTACATATTTCTGAGATATCTATCTCTAACAGACGAAAGGAGCACCGTTTTATCTTGCAATCTTATTGAAAATCATAATAATGCATAATTGTTTTAAAAGGCTTGTCTCAATCAAGTTGCACCAAGTCTGGTGTGCAATCTCATTTTGTTGACTAGCTTCGTCACTCATGTCTCCCATAGGTACTGAGGAGTGCTTGGGTGGAGGATCCAAAAGGGACTGATACTGAAGCCGCAATTGCCAGTAGCTTCTTTTCGCTGCTTATTGCTGAAAATGCTTATTGTAACTGGTATGCGGAGAGGACGGATCGCAGATTTCCAGGTAGCGTCTGAGATTTTCCGCTTCATAATTACGATCCGTAATTATGAATGCTGCAGTAATGTTTTCTTCGGTTCAGTGAATAGACTGTTTGGGATTATTGTCTGCATTTATAATTAGTGTGATGCGTTTTAAAAATCTTTTTTGTGGAGATTTTTAGGAACGATATTACAATTTGAGTTCGTTATAAAAGATATTAATTTGTAAACCTCATGGTGTGGCACGTTTATGTAACTTTCAGTTACAAACTTTATTATGACCAGCTACGTTGTTATATGTGAATTTATAATATAAAAAGAAATTTTTGTTGAAATCGAAATTTTCTCTTGACTTGTATTAAACATATTTTCAGTCTTGTCAATATCAAGCAATTTGGCATAGCATAATTTATTTAAATTGAATTTTTAGATGTGTAGACGGTATTGTAACACTTGAGCAAGTACTTTGTTATATGATGATGAGTAGTAATGAAGTCAAGTTCATTAATAAATAAAATGTCACATTACATAATAATATGAAAGGTTGCATCATGTAATAGTTTAAAATTTAACTTCTTCAGAGCAGTCAGCGTGTAATTCTCTTAAATATCAAAAGCTGATTTAAGTGATCATAAGAAGAGAAACGGAGAGGGATGTTTTGAAAGGGTGAACATACCTTTTTGCGTAATTATTGGTTTTATATCGAGATTAAATCAATGTTGCCCGAATAAACGAATGCGGTCTCATGTCACAGGAATAGATAGTACATCGCACTCGAAGAGGTTGAAGCTTCGTTAAAAAAATTGCGATTATTATTAATTAAAACGTATAAAAATATTTCTCACGTCACAGTGGACGGCGCCAAGATACTAATAAATGTTCCAGCCGCGCTGTAGCAGATTTACGGCTCCGCAAAGTAGTACATTAGGAATTCCCGTCGTCTTAGGAAGGGCGCATCCATCATGAAAGTCTTGGCGCCATCTGTCTTCAACTCACGGCGAAGTGTCAGGGCCTTTAGCGACTCCCCCGACCCCAGCGCGCGCCATGATTCCCCGAGTGTCGCGGAGGTTGAAACAGGAAGTAAAACGACGACGGAAAGGCGGCTCGTAGCGACGGAAATGGTCGAGAGGAACAGGAATTGAAATCGGGAAAACTAGTATAAAAACGTGAATGAGATGGAGAGAATAACAAATAAACTTGATGGGGATGAGTGGGTTGTTTGTTTAGATGTCAAATGAGGGAAGCAAACGGCAGAGTAGGGGATGAGGTTTAGATTAAACGCTTTGTTTTAATTGTGTTGTGGACAGAAGAGGTGGTTGAGAAGATGTCGATGAAGATTACATGAAACGGAGCGGAGTTAGATACATATAGTACAAAGGAGTGCATAGGAAGGTGGGGTAGAACGGAGGATAGATAAAGACTACAGGCGCAGACGGGTCGAGTCTGGTGGGTATGATGGAGACAGGGCGTGTGCAAAAACAGGTTGCAGCGGGCAAGGGCGTGAGGTCGGGATGTGAAGGGAGGGGATCATAAGTGACGGCCATCTGATCTTCGTCGGAGCCTCCGCACCGCCCGGCTGTAAATGCGCGGCAAACAGACGGCCCCGGCGGCCATGCGCCGCAGCGTTCCAACAACAGAGCGTCACCGGAGAGGGGGGCGTGAGGGCGGGAGGGGGTGGAGGCGGGAACGGGACGAGCGGGGGGTGGGCGGGACACGAAGGCGAAGCGGGGATGACGCTGGGGCGCAGGGAGGGCGGCAGGGGCGTTAACTGGGTGGAGCGAGGCGGCGGGCGGGACGGGAGAAGGCGACGAGGGCGCGGACGGAGCGGACGGGAGAGGTGGGCGGGCGGGAGGCCAGGGGGGGGGCCGGAAACAATCTGCTCTGGCATTGCCCTCGGGACACCGGGACTAGACCGCTTTCGGAACAATTCCAAGCGCTTCACGAAATACGTCTCCAACAGAACTATCCTTTCTCACATAATGTATAAGAAATAGTGTTGTAATTTTTATTATTTTATATGGAAATCTTATAAATACTTCGACTGTGAAGCTTGGCTATGAAGTACGCTCGGAATTGTGAAATCTTTTGCAATTGGAAATCAAGTTTAAATGAAGCTCAAAATATTATAAACTTTGATATTCTTCTTTATAACAGTCTAAAAGTCCTGTATAAGAGAGCTTTTTTTTACGATACGTCGTTCAAACATCTTAGTGTGCTGCTGATGCTGCTACTGATACGGGAATTGAAAATATGATAACAGAGTGATGTATCTCCAAACACAGTTTCTTTCGGAGAAATTATTTACAGCTTTTATATTTAGTAAGAGTAAGAGATTTTCAGATGTCCTTAATATGAGAGAGAAAAAAAATTTATACACGATTAATTTCGTAGGACTGTGAAAAAGCGATATTAAGATTCATTGATTTCTAAACTAAAAAAATGTACAAGAACGGAACGGAGAGTACGTCAGTCTGAAAATTTAAGCATCCGTAAATTAATCCCTCAGTTCTTCAAATAATCTGACATTAAATTTAAGCGAAAAATATATGTTTTAGGCAATGACATACGAGGAACAGCTAAATCTTGGCATGACCCGAAACATGTGTCTACGACTTATAAAATCTAGTTTTTCGTGTTCCCAAAAAAGTATTGAGGAGACAGTTTGAGTTATATGATGACAAGAGTTTTAGGGGAAATGCACTGTGCAAGTGCATTTAAGTAGTATTCTGCTAAATGAATTTCTGAGCATTCTCTTAGATTTACACTTCGTCTGTGGATCTACTTCTCTGTACGGGATTGACAGAACGAGCAAAACTAAACAATCTGTGTAAAATTAAATTGAAGCAATACTGTCAGAATTATTAAGTAAAATTAAAGTTAAGATTTGATTTTTCTCTGAAATTTCTCCACAATTTGCAAATGAAATGTTTAACGCCCGTCTGGACAAATCGTATTTCTGCAGAGTTCAGGGGCTATCGCTCGAGTAGAACCACTATAACAGTTCTGTTTTCACTTTTCAACAATGATTTACAAAGTGCGGACTTGTTTGTACGGTCCAGATAGTAAGTATTCTACATTATTTTAAAAGAAGAAGTGCGATGATTGAACTCTGGAAAGGCATCCTATGAAAAGTTTGCTTAACGAATTAAAACGGCGTGCGGCGGCTCGTCGTTGCCGCGTTCTGTTAAGTACGGCCTCTGACCTGCGCTGTGGTCCCGTGCGCATTCGAGCGCATGGCATCGGATTGCGAGCCGGCTCGGCAGACAACAGCATCCGCAGTGGGGGGGCAGGCGAGCGAGAGGCGGGGCAAGGGCGCGGAAGGGCGCGAGGGTGCACGGCGCGCGTAAGCGGGGATTGACGGTGGGGGAGGAGGGAAGCGCAGGGGATGGCGGCGGGGGGCGTGAGTGACGGCACGGCAGGCAAGGACGGGGCAGAGCACATTAGGAGGGAAAGCGGAGGAAGCGAGGCAGCGGCGGGGCAAGGGCAAAGCCGGTGGCGGGAGAGGAGGCGGTAGGTAAGGGAGTGACGGCAGTGGGAAGACTAGTGCAGGGCTGGAGTGAGGCAGGAGGCAGGGGCAGACGGTGCACGGGGACAGAGCAGGAGTAGAGTCGGGGACTGGTCGGCCAACGCGCCTTATTAAGCGTTTGCATCCGTTGGTGGCGCGCACCGACATCGCCACGGCAGACGAGAGCGAGGCAAGGGGCGAGGAAAGTCCTGCAGCAACGGGATGGCGGGACGGAGGGAGGTGGGAGCGGTAGCGGGGTGGCGGCGGAGCGCTGCGCAGAGTGAGTGGAAACGGCGGCGGCAGCGGGCACGGCAAGCGTCGGGGGCGGGCGGTGGAGGAGGAAGCGAGAGGGAGGGCAGGGGATGGCGGCGGTTGCAGAACAACGGCGGCGGCGGCAGGAGGAGATGGGACGGCGGCGGGGCTTTGTTTACGCGAAGTTATGATGGATGAGAGAGCCAGAGGGGGTGGCGGCGGGCGAACCAGGCGGGAGGGAGGGGGGGGGAGTTGAGAGCTAAGTGCGGCAAGGTCGGGGCAAGGTGCGAGTGAAGAGAGAGGAAGCGGCGCGGGAACAGGATGGGCGGCAGTGCAAGGGCGAGAGCAGGTGCGGGGCGAGTGAGGAAGGTGGAGTGGCGGCGGGCATGGGCTAGTGCGGAAGGGCGGCGTTGCGCGAGCGCGGAGTAGTGTTGAGAACTAGTGGCCCACGCGCCGCGTTTACGATGCGCTCGCCTCGATTGGCTGGCGCGGGGCGAAAGCGTGACCGGGCGTGACCGTGAAGAGCACTAACTCGCCAGCCGCCGCATTGGCTTCGTTTTGTCCCGAGCAGCAGACAGACACTCGCTATTGTAGCTTCGTACCAATGCTTTAGTCAGAATTTCACTATGCTCGCGTCAGCATCTCTCACCAATCGGGCGTTTTTCGAGGCGGTCGAAAACCAAAGTGTCGACGCTCGAGCGTGCAATTGGGAATTTGTTCAAAGTCCCGGTGTTTCTGTCTATGCCATCTTATGTTCTCCATGCGTTTCAAAATAATGTATTTTTGTATATATTATACGATAAAGAATTTTTTAAAACCTTAGAGAATATTTATTTTAAAGAAAAAATTGGTTAACTTTTTGATTCATGTTTAACTTTCGAATGTGTGAGGAATATATTGAGATCAATATGTATCATTATAGCGAAGGATTCACAAGATTAGATTCATGAGGTACAACATATTGGATAAACTCATTATTATTCTAGAAGCTAAGACGGAGGGTAGGAGGTGGTGAACATTCGTAAGTAATAATAGTGAATAAGGACTAAAACCTTCATTGCAGATTTCGTAGATTTATACCCCCACCCCCTACTGAGGCAAGCTAGCACATCTTGAAGTGGTTTATGATCGAGCAGAGTCTCGGAGATATACCCTAGGCGATATCTTACCATTGTCTTTGTATATTCTTGTAAAGTAGTGTTTATACGCTATACCTGATATAGTAATAGTATAACAACATTCCAAATCGATTATCGCACAACACAATTGGACAAAACCTGTGGATGATGCAAGAACGAACATGATTCGTAATCATGATTAATATATTCAACAACTGGACCATCCCGCGCATAAACATTAATAGCTAATTCTACATGGGGATTCTTCTCATAAATCTCCTTGTAATGACCTGATAAAGCCGTCATATAGGCAAATCAATAACGGGAGAACAGATAAGATCGTGCAGGTGAAGGCGCTAACACGCGATCTGGAGCAGACGAAATGAAATAAAGAAGTGAAATAAAAAAATTAATATTGAAAGTAGATGAATAATAGAAACTACGAGTTATAGGTTGCTTCATGTGTGTGTATATGTGTGTGTTCTTCTCGGTGTCGTCTCGTGCTTACTGTGTGTCACAAGCAGCGCCGCAAGCAGCAACATCGGTGCATCCGTTGAGCGCCGAGTGAACCCGCGCGGGGCGGGGCGTGGGGGTGGGAGTGAGAAGGGTGCAACGTGCGCCGACCACAATAAGCCGAGGCATCTGCTCTGTAAGCGCGTGTCCGTCGTCCGGCGGCGGCGCGTTGGCTCTGTAAATTGCATCGCTGCGCATTGGAATCGAGGCACGAACCTCCCCCTCTCTCTCCCCCTTCCCCCCTCCCCCGCACAAGGAGCGGCCCGCGGCCCGTGGCGCGCGCCGTCGTTGCAATCGCATTAGCACTGCCGCGCCGCCATTTGCCTAACAAGTCCTCTCTGCGCGCCTGCACTTGCAGCTCCTCCGGGGCGAACGCACCGGTTCGCTGATGGACATTTTGTTTTGTATTTTCTTTTCGTGTTTGCTTAGGATGTTTGAATTTTTCTGTCTCGGGACGAGTAATTTATTATTCTACTCGAAGTTGCCTTCATTATTCATTTTTCAAATTCAAAATTAACAGTATCCGGAAACGGTTTTTCAGTTAATGAAAACGTTTGTCATTAAAATAATGAAACCGTTATTAATAACTTAGACCACTTTTAATATTCATATCACAAAATAAAATAATAGGTTTATAATTATGAGAAAGTGCGTAATCCGTACACCTTTAAATTAATTTAAGGTTAATAACAGGTCATTGCCTTAAATTAAGTACTTAATCTGTTTATTCAAGCAATAAAAGATCAATTCCTTCTAAAAGTTATTTTCAAATAGTAATATCTAAACTCATGGCTGTTTGCTGTGTCAGTTGCATCCCTCAACTGACAAATCTATTAGAACCGACTGTGTAAAATCTTATGTGTTAATTACTACGCAAAAGTATTCAGGCAGTGCCATCAGCAGGCCAGTCGTCATTCGCAACACGGAAGCAAATTCTGTGCGACGAACCTTCGACAGTGATGTGCAGTGCCCCTTGAGCGCCCAGCCGACACCTGCACGAAAGCACACAGAGCCTGTAGACACTCCGTCGCCGGCTAGAATATTTTCGCGTTGTCTGGAGTGAGATAAACTGACAGGTCGAGTGTTGACCTGCCGCATGTCGATGCTTCAAACTCTCATCTACTCAGTTTGCCAGGGCTCTCTCGCCTTTATACACTTGACAACCTGTTTGACGTGACATTTTTACCAAGTCAATATGGGTTTAAGAAGTCCTGTATAACTGTATTCTAATCCATCACACAAACTATTTTGCGAATGTGCTCAGGCGTCATAAATCTCTTGACAGGCTCTCTCGTGACACGTGAGAAAAAAAAGTGGTTATTTTGGAGGTAAATTTCTGAAAACGCGATAATGTATACATTCACCCAATACCTATCCCTGGATGTCTTGGCATAAAGTTGAAATCCAAGAGTTGTTTTGTGCAAAGGAAACCTTCTTTTATGTTTATTTACCAAGTATGGTGCGCGATTATTGACTTAACCAGTCACAACTCGCGTACCTTTCTGACACGTAATTATACCAGCAGCGCTCTGACTGCACCAACAAAGGAACGATTGTTTATTCTATACAAAACCAATAATTACTTCAAATTAGAAGTATTTGTTAAGAAAAAAGATAACATATTGCATAAAAACATTTATAATGCTCAATATAAAGACTAGAAGAAATTTACAATGACGAAGTTCATGCCTCTGAAAAAACGATGTATCACATAATAATAATAATAATAATAATAATAATAATAATAATAATAATAATAATAATAATAATAACGATAATAGATGTAAAGAAAATTAGTGTTTTATAAACAGTATTTAGTAACATTGATATAATATTGGAATATTTTACACGACTAGTGAAAACATTATGCCGAAAACAGAATGTAATTTTATCCCTATTTCATGCAATTATAGGTAATAATAAACTATGCATTGAGAAGAAATCACTCTTGTGTGTATTTATAATATAACTTTAGCAGCGTATACGTGCGCCTAAATCAGTTTGGAAATAATTCATCTCCTGTACTCCCACTACTTGCAAAGGAGCGATTGAACCATGAACTGTTCAAGAAACTCGGAATATACCATGTTAGTAAAAACTATAATGCAATATGATGCAAGTATTGTCAACAGGAAGCAAAACATTGCGACTAACACACTTCGTGCGTCAGCGCGTCTAATTAAAGGTTAAAGGGCAAATGCATTCGTATTTATCATTTATTATCCCAGGGATATGTATTTTGTAACAGCAAATTCATTCCATTCTATCTTTTCCTGTTAACTGATGATAAGCCATATCCGTGTTCGAATTGAGAATTATGTAACCATCACACTGGGTGTGGAATACAAAATCTGTCACGAGCTCTCTGATAGACAAATATTTCAAACAACTATTTGACGTTTGGATTGCGAAATTAACCCATTTTTACGCAGATTAACTATGACAATAAACGGTGCGTGAAAACAGCGACTCGTGAATCTCCACACTTCGCTTTAAAGCTATCTATTTACTATTTTTTCCAGGCACGTATGTGCTTTGTAGTACTGTAAGTATAGCGTATGAGAGGAATCTGGTTAGGGAAAATGGCCGCAAGGCGACATACGTCGGCCCCGGATATTGCATGCCAGATGAGGACGGACCCCCCCCCCACGATGAAAACATGCACTGCACTTACGGAACTAATTATCTTTGCCGTTAACGCGCCCGGAATCACTAATAACTGAAAACCTAGAGGTGGCGGTGTTCGCACTCGGTTGAAACCTGACATCTGACGACGACCTCGTCACCTTGCAAAGTTGTACCACTTCCAGGTTTCTCCGCCAGAGGGGCGGCGCCGGCAACCGGGATAGACTCTACCGTCGCGAATACCTCCCGGCATGCGGTAGAGTAAGGTGTATGTTTTTGAGGGGAGGCCAAAGGATGAGAAAGAAAAGATCGTGCGCGATCCGTGCTTTGGTTCATAAGGTACTGCTCCGATATTCGCCTTGTATTGATAGGAGAAACCTCAGAAAATTTCCGATCAGAGGAGCTGGCCGCTTGAATTTTCCTCCAGAAAGCGGCTGAGTTCCACCTAGGTACGTATATATATATATATATATATA